GTTAAGCAAATACCCGATACTTTGACTTTATGTGAAAATGTACGCAATTTTCAGCTGTAATGTTCTCCTTCCTCTCTGCCAGGAGGAGCAAAATATGTTTCATAACCTCTTTCCACCACCATCATTATTTTTCAGTGAGGAAGAGTTTAACTTCCTTAAAGTAATCTTTTTAAAATTTTTTTGTTAAAGTGATCTTTCAATTTATATCACTGTAGTTCTTTGGATACTATTCTTTTGGTTCTACTTATTTCACTTTATACCACATCATATAATTTTCCAATGATTCTCTGGATTCTTCACTTTCCTCATTTCTTATTGAACAGTAATATTTTCTTATTCTTATAGTCCACAGTTATTCTTTCATATGTTTCCCCAATCAAGGGGTGTGCCTTTATTTCTGATTTTTTGCTAATGCAGAATGATGCATAAATACTCTGGTATTTATTCAAACTCCGTTTCTACCTTTGATCCCCAGAGACAAGGTTATGGATAGATAAGTCATTTTTCATATATAATGCCAACTTGATATCCATAATGGCCAGACAAATTCACAGTTCCACCAACAATGTATTGGTGGACTTATCTTTTCATGACTCCTCTAGCACTAACTTCCCACTTTTTGGAATTTTTTTTCAAATTTGTATGTTGTCAGTTGAAACCTCAGCTATCTAAATTTGGCATTTCTCTTTTAAATTGGTATTTACTGATAAGAATCTAATGGCAATACTTTGACTACTTTAAGACAATATACATAGCTTTATAACATTTTTTCTTCTAAAGTTTATCGCAGAATTTTAGAACATTAAATCTAAGTGAGATCTCTTGTCCTTCTGATATTTTTTCTTTCCATATGCTATGCTATATGTCCCATATGTATAAAAATAGAAGACAACTGTCTACCCAGCCTCTGAATCTTAAATATTTTATTGTTTGATGCAAATTGGCTACATACTGGTATTCTCCCTAGAAAAAATATACCAGCCTTTATCTTGGGTAGCTTACACAGTGTATACACACTCATATACACATTTATTGGGTGTTAGCTAGAAGGTATAGGGCAAAATGACTTTTTGTGGGATCGTTTTAAATATTGAGTGGAATAACTTTACTCAATTTCCCACATAAGAGGACAGTTGATTGGGCTACTCAAAATGGGAAAAATCTTTAACAACATGAAAGTGGAATGGGGTCACCAGAGCTACTAAAATTAGGAAATATCTATCACCACATAAATTACTGTTATTAATCTCATATATAGGAGCTATCAAAAGCCATATGGTTCCCTATAAGCTAATTACAACCCACTGCCTGTTCCCACGTTCTCCTGTGGGCCTGCCAACAGTTACCTTTATTTTATAAGCAGAATGTATTTCTGGGGAAGAACTTAAATGAGAAAAAAAAAAGCTGGATGAAGACAGGAAAATAGAGAAAAAAGTCTAGCATCTGACATAGAACAAAATGACCAAAATTTTATTTTGGTTTATTAATGTAGGCAAAGACAATGGCTGGAGAAATGTAAGGAGCTATCCCAGAAATGGCAGGTTGGTCAGGGTTCTTGGATCCTGATATAAGAAAGCAGAAACTACTACAAAATTCAATGCAATTATACAGTGTGGGAGTGAAATAATCAAAGAGACAAGAAAAAAAACTTGAAAAAAACTGAATTGGTAGGGGAAATAGCAATAAACAAAATGGAATAAATATTTAAAACAATAACCAAAGAAATATTAAGAGAGGAATCCCAGGAAAGACAGAATGTCATGCAATCAATCCTTCCTAAAAAAAAAAAAGAAATGAAACATCATAAACTATCACCCTCTCTTACTATTTGTTCAATGTTATTTTTTTTGTTCTCTGCTAATTATACACACTTTTTTTAAAAGATTCTTGTCTGTTCCTTTTTTACCATAATTCAATCTCTAGTGTTTCCTGCCTGGGATACATTCTGTGCACAAAGGGTTTGACTAGTCATTGGACCAGCTGTTGTTGCTACGATTGTGAGAGTGTTTAACACCAGCTTTCAAGGCTTTCAGACTCATTACTTCTAAAATAACACCTCCACTGGGCTTCAGAAAATCTTTTCAAAAGACAAAGAATAACAAAAGGAAAATGGGCACTTACAGAGGTTCAAACCTGTCACTCTAGGGTGGCTTTTAGGGCTAATACATTGTTCTTTTTTTGAGAATATTCTTATCCTGCCTAATTTCTACTTTAACTTTTGATCGAACACATTCTGAAATATCTGTGAATAGGATCAAACTTGAAAATTACAAATGGCCATAATCAGAGGAGTGCCTTCACATTTTCAACTATCTTGATCCTTCTCTGATAATGTTGAAGGATAACACTGTCCATTGGGACCAAGTAGAATGAAAAACCCAGTAGGTGAAAATGTAACACCATTTTGGGTTTATTAGCTAAGTAACAATCCCAAGAATAATCCTGTTTTTGCCACTAGATTGTATAACAGGAATAACAAAGGATCTTTGGGGCATTAGTCTTGTTTCCCCAAATTCTAGTTAACTCTTGCTCAGCCTGTAACTTCAAAACAACTCTTTATAGATCCAGCTGATAACAATTCTCTTAGACCTTATGTTGTAGTGAAGCAAAACAGTTTATTTAGGAATAGCATGACAACATGGAAAAGTTACTTGCACATGAAGGGATGTGCTGTAGTCAGCTGAAACTGGTTTCCAAGAACTAATTGTTGAATTTTCAGAGCATTTACATCTCAGAAATCTACAAACACTATAAATTGGGGTTTGAATTATTATTTTGTTTATAGACTTAAGAAAGTGGTGAGGAAAATATTAATAATCCCAAATTTAAAAATATGTTCTGCATATGTATTTTTTTTCAGTGAGCTTATTGTTAAATATCTCCCAGCATATACCTGGGTACAGGCAGGATATATTTAGCAGATGTTCCTCTTTGAAGCATGATTATATGACTGGAGAGAGAGTAGAAACTAGTTAAGTCTCATCAATTCTTTTCTCTTCACTTTCATATTAACATGCCCAAACACTGCCACCAATGCAACCCTTTCCTCTCCCTAGAGAGGAATCTAATATATTTACTCTTCTGCCATGTCCATGCTTTAGTAGAGGAAATCTGGAAGTTTATCATCTCCATAAACCATTTGTTTGTTTATTTGTTTACAATTGGGGTTAAGTGACTTGCCCAGGGTCACACAGCTAGTAAGTGTCAAGTGTTTGGCCTGAGACCAGATTTGAACTCAGGTCCTCCTGACTTCAGGGCCAGTGCTTTATCCACTGTGCCACCTAGTTGCCCCTCCATAAACCTTTTGTTTCCTACCACAATGAGGCAATAGAATATCTCTGTCACTCATGCAAAGGTGGGAGCAAAAATGGCATGCTTTTCAGAAATATCAATGACCCTAGTTTTTTATGCCATAAAAAGAACTCCTTTTGATTTTTTTGTACATAAAGGACCTTTTCTTCATTCTTTAACCCCTTTGAGACATAGGGCTAGAATTGATATAGCTGGGTCAAAGGGAACTGTATAGGAGCTTTTTGTACATGATTCTGAATTCCTTTCCAGAATGGTTGAACCTATTCATGGTACTAATATGCCTGTTTCCCTGCAGCCCTTCCAATTTGTAATTTTTTGTCACCTTTGCTAATATAATGGGTGTGAGATGGAATTTCAGAATTACTTTAATTTGCATTTGTCTAATTATTAGTCATTTGAAACATTTTTTCATATAACTTCAGAAAGCCTGGGTTCCTTCACTTGAGATTCTTCTCTGTATAGCTACTAGGTGAACATATATCATGAGGAGCTCTCCAGCTCTTCTTCCATGGTCATGAAAATTCCAGCTCTTCCCATCACATTCTTAGCTCTACCCACTAAAGAAAAGACTAGGAGTCTTGATGTTGTTCAAGTACAAGAGTGAGAGAAGAAAAACCTAAATTTTAGTAAGCCAAGGCCAGAGGAAGGATAGACTAGCAAGAAACTTTTATCTCTGCCTAACCACTAGCCCATTTCTTATTCTCTCTCCTTTCCTGCCTCCTCTCCCACTCCTTTCCTTCCCCTCCTCCTCCTCCTCCTCCTTCTTCTTCTCCTCCTCCTCCTTCTTCTTCTTCTTCTTTCTCTCTCTCTCTCTCTCTCTCTCTCTCTCTCCTCTCTCTCTCTCTCTCCCTCTCTCTCTCTCTCTCTCTCTCTCTCTCTCTCTCTCTCTCTCTCTCTCTCTCTCTCTCTCTCTCTCCCCCTTTCTCACCCCTTTCTCTCTACCTCCCTTCTCTCTTTCTCTCTCCCTCCATCCCTCCCTCCTTCTCTCCCTCCCAATTTACCTTGGCAATCTGGGTCCTGTTGGCAATGAAGCTATATCACAAATGTCACAGCAATGGCAATTTCTGGTGAAACCACCCAGAAACATTAGGGCCACATCTGACGACTCCTTACATAGGGATCACTTTGAAGATAATAGTTTGTTATCTTTTGAAGACTCTGTCAACATAATAACTTTTAGGAAACTATTTTTTTTAAAGCAACCAAAATGATTCTTGTGATCTTAAATAAAATAATTCCATACCTTTAAGATATTAGATCTTAATACAGAAGTGCAATCCCTTTTCTTTAAAAAATATTAGACCATAGACTATCAGTTGAGAAATAGAACTTTCCCTGTGTAGAGCACTGTGCAGCCTACAAAGCACTTCTACATGTGGGTTGTTCATGATCACCCTTCATAAGGAAGAGAATCATCATCATTCATCCCCTCTTACTAATGAGAAAACAGGCCTAGAGAGGTTAATTAAATAAGTTGCCCAATGGCAGAAAGGCTGAAAATAAAGAGACAATTCAAGAAGTGGTTTCCATTTGTTTATTAATTGCTCAAATAGTTTATTCATTCATGCATCTATTTATTTATTTATTTGCTGATTTATATATTTATTTGCTTATTTATCTGTTTATTTACTTATTTATTTACTGGTTTGTTCATTTATTCATTTATTTCTTTGCTTGTTTGTTTGCAGACTAAGTAATGAGTGGTAATGGCCTACACTTACCATATTTACACAACTTTACAGTTAACCAGTATGGCTCTTTGAGGGCAGGCACAGTCTCTAGTACATAGTAAGTATTTAATAAATGCTTGCTGACTAGCTGACTGATAAATAAGTTATAAACTTGACAATTTAAAAGATATAGAACAGCTTTTATGTCTTTGTGATCATAAAGGGTAAAGGATGATTGAATCACAATTATCTCTTGGGAAATACACAAAACCATCCCTCAAAAACTGGTGTGATTAAAAAAAACAAGGATATTGGAAAAACAAATTTCAGTGTGAAATTCCTTATAGTACTCCATTACAGTGATATTTTATTTGGGTCACAAGCACAAATCCAAATTTTTTTTTCTTCTCCCAGGACTAGTTAAACATAGCAAAATTAAATTACAGTTGAAATTTGGCCATCTTAAATGGTTGATAAACCTCCCCAGGGGCTACTAATCTACATAGATGTAAAAGGGCACAGTATACTTTTTTCTTTACAGCCTGTAAACTTTAAGAGGAAGGAAAAACATATGTTCACATTTGAGAAAAAAAGTTATATTGTTAATTATCAAGGAGAGTGCTTTGTGTGACCCTTTTTTGGTAAACAAAATTATTTATTAGAATAACAAGTTTTGTAATAAATTGTTCAATATGATATATAAAACAAGACATCATAACTGAAAGCAAGGACAAGGCCCTTTAATTTTAATAAAATACTAGACAGAGTTGACTGAAAGAAAACTAAGTACTTCAGAATGACAAATCAGAGGAATGACATCCTGAGAAGGTGATTTGGGGGATTCGGGAAATAGAAACTGAAGGCTCAAGACTAACTTCACTAAAAGATTTACATTGACTCTCATAAAAATTCAGCTGATATACCATTCTTAATGGAGCAAGCATGAAAAATATAGAATTCCCATCATGCCTCAAGGATTTCATCAAAAAGGTAGGCTTTTAAAAAATATATCCTTGAATTGTTTAAATCCCAGCCTAACTTGAATGAAGTGCTAATTCAGTTTCATTATTGCCAGAAATATTTTTTAAATAAAATGTTTTTTGAAGCTCAAACATTTTTTATGATAACATTAGTAGCAAGTACACTGACCATTTCCCAGTCAAATAGTTAATGTTAAACTTGATCATCTGTAAAATGAAAGCATTGAACAAGACTTTCTCTAAGGTACTTTCCAGCTGTAAATCCTATGGTTCTAGGTTCTGAAAACAAAGTCCATAGTGATCCACCAGTTACAAACTTTTAAACAAAGCTATCCACATGTCACATATCTGGGTTCCCTAGGAATGACTAATGAAATCCTTCTAGAGGTTCGTTTTTGATAATCGGTATCTTCCTGCACATCCTTAAACAAGCAGGCTTCTCCTCAAGAATTATGTCTTATGATATTATATTATGGCTAATTATTAACTTGCCTAGTCTCAGGATTAGACTGATACTCATCAGCAGGCTGATCAAATCCTCCAAAAGCTTGAGCTATTGGGAAAAGATTTGAGGCTTGGGGATATCTCATGCGACATCTGTAAGACACAGGGCAGATGTAGTTGTTGACAGTCAATATGTCTGTACCTTCATCATCATAGCTAGCATGTATTTAACTCTTTAAGGTTTGCAAAGTGCTTTTCATTCCATTTCAATGGATCCTCACAACTCTATTAAGTGGATGCTATTATTATCCTTGTTTTACAGGTGAGGAAACTGAGGTGCAGAGGTAAGGGATTTGTCCAGGGTAGCCCAGCTAACATGTTATTAAGTCAAACTCTGAGTCAGGATTTGAACTTATGATATTCATGACTACAAGGCCAGTGCTCTGTTCACTATGTCATTCAACTGCCTTATCCTTCTGGGAAATTGCAGGATGTTCAGAGTATTCCAAAGACAAGCAGGCATTTGGAATATACAATCCAAATTCTAATCTCAAGGGGAGTTGCAAGAAGTATATGGAAAATAACAGCAAATATTTCTGAGTCCACCATTTTTGTTTTTTGTTTGTTTTAGATCTAATTATGGAACAAAAGCTTCATTGTTTATGGAAGGAAATGATCCTGAAGAAATCAAGCTATGTTTTAATCAAGCAAAATTTTAAATATTTTTGCTCATACTCCATGGACTGTCAGTGGTCTTAAAATAGGATCATGGATGTACAGTTGAGACCATCGAATTCCACCTTCACTTTTTACAGATAGGGAAACAAACTGAAGGAGGCTAAGCAACTCTCTCCCTATCACATGTTAATGATTGTTTCAGTAAGGATTTGAACTCAAGTCTTCCCAGCTCAAAACCCAATGCTGCCTCTGTCAACATTTGACCTTGAATTGTTAAGACAAACTCTACCTTTGACAAAGAGCTTTGACAGTTGTAATGTATCCCTGATGATGCATCCCTTAGCACCTCCTCCATAAAAATTTTCTCCAATATTCCCAACCAGAAATAACCCTTCTTCATCTGAACTGCCAAAGCCCTTGGGGTCTACTTAACTCTTTTTTTTTGTCTATTTAACTCTTATTGCACTTTAATATTCTGTCTTTGTGTGGGCCTCCTCCTAGACTATAAGCTCTGGGAAAACAAGAATCACCTTTTATTTATCCTTATACTCCCCACATCCCAAAGTCTTTGTTGTCTAAACAAACGAACTGATGAGTAAATGGTTATTTCATCCTTACGTATTCTTTTTTTAAATGCAGCTTCTGTGTCGGGCTAAATTAGGTATCTATGTGAAAGGGAATTAATTGACAATGGGATATTTAATCATATGAAATGCTGATAGCTGCTAAGTGAAAGAAGAAAGCATTTATGTAATGTGGGCATGATATTTTCAACCTGCTCATTTCAGGGAATGTGCATGACCCTTTGCTTCATTTGTTAATTTATTCTCTAAACAACCATTTTTTAAAGTTCTGTTATATTAAAAAGCACTGTATAAGGTGATTGGAAAACAAAGACTAAATGACAAAAATAGCCCTTACCCTCAAGAAGTTTATATTCTATTGTGGAAAATATGACATTGAAGCAGATAAACAAATATTATATAATTTAAGGAGAAAAACTATTAGCCTCAAGGATAATTAGGAATGACTCCCCATAAGAGGTAGCAAATGCCAGAAAACTGAATCACTTCCTCTTGAATTGTCTTAGAAAGATTCTGAAGATTACCTTGCAAGATAAGGTATTGGACACTGAGGTCCTGACTTGAGCTGAACTATGAAGCATTCAAACTTTACTGCAGAAAATGTAACTCCAATGGACTGGCCATATAGCCCAAATGCCAAATGCATGCTAACTCAAAAGACTATTTTATGTTAACTTGAACGAGGTAAGCACTCACAAGATGGTCAGAAGAAGGGTACAAGGTCTCTCTTAAGAACCTCAGTATCAATTGTGAGACGAGGGAGATGCTAGAACAAGACTGCCCAGCATGGAGTGCCCACATCAAAAAAAGCCACTGTGCTCTATGAGCAAAACAGAATTGCAGAAGCATAAAGGAAACATGAGTTTTGAAAATCCAGAGATATCTCTCTCCTAAATGTTCTAATCCAGGAGGGGGGGACCTGTGGCCCTCTAGGTCTTCAAGTGTGGCCTTTTGACTGAATCCAAATGTCATTTGTTCTGGGACTTTTGGATTCACTAAAAGGGCCACACTTGAGGACCTAGAGGGCCACATGTGGCCTCAATACCACAGGTTCCCCATCCCAATAATAGACTACTTGTGTGTGACCTGTGATAGAGCCTTCTGAACTCAAATTGGACTGATCAGCCACAACCAAGCACCCCATACCCTGACTCTAACATTCTGATGTCATTGGTCCTCTTTGAAGATGAATGATAGACAATAGCAAAAGCTGAGCCTTGAAGAAAAATTCTGAGAGTCAGAGATGGGGAGAGTGCATTCCAGACATGCCAAACAGCCTATGCAAAGACTTGGAGGTGGGAAATGGACTGCAGAATTCTGGGAACAGTTAGTAGCCCTGTCTGGATGTACAGAGGATTGTTATGAAATATGTCTGGAAAGGTAGCCACACTTAAGGGCCCTAAATGACAAACTGAAGAATTTGTATTTTATCCTAGATGTAATAAAGGATGTTCTAATTATTTGGGATATTTTTGCCCCTAACATCAAGCCTGAGTTTGTTTCTTTTTAATTTCCACCCATCACTCCTCATTCCTTTGTGATGCTGCTTCCTTCCCGTCTTGACTTAGCAGAATGCAAGGGTTCTGACATCCAAATATGATGCAAAACATATCTTGTCGAATTGACATTATATCATTGGTAATTTACACATATAGTATTAACTGTCCCTGTTATGCCTTATGTGTTTTAACTATATACTGTACACTGTGTGTTTTGTGCCTGGGGCAATTCATCAGAAAGGGCACAATTTTGTAAATGTAAAAAGAAAATAACATCTTTGCCACAAGAATCTCTGAGAACTAGTGATGACCTTGTGAAAATTTAAGACCTTGATTTTGACTTCAGAGAGTACTTGCATTTTCTTTACTTTTTGATTTCTGGAGCCTTAGGACTTAAACGGCTTTACTGTTCTGCCTCAGTCAAAGGTAGAGGAAATAGCATAGTCTTAGGTGAAATTATTGATGGAATTAAAGACATAAAACTAAAAAGTGCCCTGTCCAAGAACACTTGGCTTATCATGTAATTTTTATACCTGCTACTTTGATATTCTCTCCTCCAAACTGAAGCAGCTTTATGATGAATTTATCACATCTCACAATAGCTGCAGAACCATGTATAAACCTCCCTTTATAGGCACAGGATAGAGACATATGGTATTAAAGTGGTGGATGTCTCCTTTTATATTTTGCTCCAATGTTATTTACACATTGGAGCATAATTCCTAAGAATAAAAGATTGTTCTAGTTTTTGTTTACACTAATCAGAAGGTAGGCTTTTGGAGCAGTGATTTACTCTTGCTCACCTAGACTAAGAAAATATTGTGAACTGATTTGTTATGCTAGAGACATTTCTGTCTCAGCAGTGGTGCTTCCCTTGATTGATCTGATGGTTCAGAATGGAAATATATAGCCTATAGCTTTCAAAGGCCTACTTTATTTGTTGGCCCAATTGTATTAAGCACATATCTCAGTGTACAGAAATTCCTTTGCCAGGACTTAAAATACCAGTTTAATTTTGCATCCCTTCAAAGTCAAACTCAGGTAGTCTATGTTCACTTGGATTTGGACTACCATTGCAATGCTTATTTAAAAGATAAAAGCCTATGTGCCCCACCACACACACACACACACACACACACACACACACACACACACACACACACACACACACACACACACTACCACCACCACCACCACCAGCAAGGACAACAGCAGTAGCACAGGTGGAATGACAAAAAAAAAATTTATCCTGAACTAAAGCAGCAAAATAATGTCATTTTAGGATCATAAAACTCTTAGAAGTCTTACTCCATTCAGCTTGGGTTGTTCCAAAACCATAAGCATCTTTGGTTTTAATAGTGTGAGTTCTTCCTCCATCTATGGCAATGTGATCTAGTGGACAAGAGTGCTGGACTTTGAGTCATGAAGACCTGTATTCAAATCCCACCATAGACACCTATTAACTATCTGACCTTGGGTAAATTATTTAATTTCTCTTGGTTTCATATTCTTCATCTATAAAATGAGACTGGACTTGGTGCCCTTTAATACCCCAAACAGCTCTAAATCTATGACCTATAATTTCAGTCCTGACATAAACTTAGATTGTTTTTTCAGAGAGTCCAGGACTGCTACTCATCATCATCATCATCATCATCATCATCATCATCATCTCATCATCATCACCTCATGACCAGCTTTCTGGTGATGAACATCTCTGAGCTAGACTGGAACAGAAGTGACAGACTGGCTATCCTCAGGTCTGTACTTGAAATCTTTCTGGCGAGAGTCTGTACTCCATGACACGCCCTTTGAAGCCTCACACTCATCTCCCCACTGCAAGGAGTCATTGGAGTGGGGCTTTACTAAGTGCTGCTGCTGCTGGAATGAGATAGAAATAGGTGCTTTTGGGTTTCTGCCAATGTTGAAACTCTATTCTTTCATGGTAGCGCATGGGAATGATCAAACTTTTTAGTACTTTAATTTCTGCCCCTGCACTTATAATAGTAGCAGTGATGATGATAGTGATAACTACAATTGACATTTTTATGGTACTTTTAGGTTTGCAAAGCATTTTTTGCAAGTACTGTACCATCTCATTCTCCTAACAAGCCTGTAAAGTATATTACATGGCAGATGAAGAAATTGAGACTGAGAAGTTAAGTGACTTACTTACCCATAACAGTGAGCGGCCTTCCCTGACTCCAAACCCAACATTCTTTTCAATGTAACACACTGACTTTTATAAAGAAGGCAAATATATATATGTATATTCACCTTTCTTTTTCCCTAAAATTTCACGCTAAAAAGTTGTATCTAGGTCCCTAGAGCAATATAATAATACTAACACTAATCACAACAATAATATTTGTGTAGTATTAATTGTGTATCTGACACCATACTAAGCATTTTACAAATATCTCATTTTATCTTCATAACAACTTTAGGTACTATTATTATCATCACCATTTTAGGGATAAGGAAACTGAAAAAGACAGATTATGTGATATGCCCAGAGTCATATAGCTATCTGAAGCAGGTTCTAAACTCATCTTTCTGACTCCGGGTCCAGCACCGCGGCCACCTAAATGCCTCTTGTAGTTAATAGAATAGAATTTGTGTTTCCAAATCAGAGAGGACACTTCCTATAATACATGTCTGGGTAAGAATTAAAGTCAATTGGTGTCAGTGGTCAGAGACACTTTTAGATTATCTCTTAGAAGGATCCTAGGTAAACTAGAATCTCAAAAACAAAAGATTCCTAAAGAGTGACTATGAAAGTAAGTCCTTAGCATGGTGAAAAGAGCATTAGGATAGCAGTCAGCAATCCTGAGTTCTTTAACTTTCCAGTGATTATGACCTTGGGCAAATCACTTACCTACCTTGTCATCAGTTTCCACAAATATAAAATTATGCATTTGAAACTAAATTTCCTACAAGTTCCCTTCCAACTCTAACATCCTGTGATTCTAGAGTGACAGGTCTCAAGCTTTAAAAGGAAACCAAAATGATAGCAAGTTCATTATTCTAGTTTGTATTTATATGCTATGTGTTATTTAAGTTATTTAGTCATATACAGTCATTCAACAAATCTCCAGTGTAAGAGCATATGTCAGGTATTGGGGTAGATACAGAGTTTAGATAGTTTATATGTGTTTTATACATCTTAACTTACTTAACTTACTTAACTTACCTACTTACAACTTAAGATGAAGTTGATGGTAAGTATGTAGGTGAATTTTATTTAGATACTCAGTAAAAAAAGATGGAAGTCTCAATAGGATTTCATTTGCATAAGACATGCTAAAAAAAAGGTAAGGTTACTTAGGTAGAAAAAAAATTAATATAATCATAGATCTAGAAATATTATTAAGAAGATGGTCCATTTCAGACAGAAATATCCTAAGCCATCATGACCTATTAAAAATTCACTTTCTTTTAAGATCTCCAGAGAAGATTCCCAGATATCTTAATTTAAAGCTTCTACAATCTTTCACATCCACCCACTCCAATTTTGAACGACACTGCTAGGAAATGAATTTTATTTTATGGTAGGTTTTTTCCCCCCTTGAATCATACTTATGCTTTTATCTAGTGAGAATTTATAGAGAAAATATTTCTCCTCATTTATTTGAAATAAACTGCAACTAAAAAAAAAAAAGAACCAAGCTTGACCCCCAACATTAGATTTGTCAACTATTTAAAGGTTCTGACCTGACACTGAGTGTGCAATATGAACTGAAAAACTGATTCCAGTGCAGACAAAATATAGGAATTTGAAGTAACAATGAGAAGCATGCCAAAATAATAAACGAGATTTGGGAATTCTCCTCTTTATTTGAAAAATCCAATGTTGTTCAAATGGTATTCAGTAATGCACCTGGGAATGAAGAGCATTACTTTGAGGCAGGGTTTTTGAGTGATTGAAATGGTCAAAACATATCACATGTGCCACAGGTAACTGGGATGCATTTTACATAATGGTCATAGTTTGTGTCTACATTTAGCCCACAAATCTATTCAATATACAGAAATTCTTATGTTCTGTGAATACAGTTCATTTCTTTATTATCATCAAATATTTGTTGAGTGCCTGCTATTTGTAATGCCAAGGTCCTTCACTTTGTCAAAGAATGCCATGATCTCATATCTTCTTTTTCTTCTGTACATCATTTCTGCCGCATTTTATTTGGGAGGGGGAGAATTTAATGTCCCAAAGATTTATTAAGCCACATCACAGATTCTGTCCACAATTAGAGTTTTAACATTTTGAAGTCCATTTTTACTCTTCAGTAATATTGGCCCAAATGCAAAGATACTGATACATACATACTAACCATACTGGGTCTAAAAGTAGCAATGGGCACTTTGAAATACATAATAAATTCAGGCCAGATGCTCATAGAACCACAAGAAAAACCTTCCAAAAAGGGATTACTTACCCCCTGCCAAAAAAAAACCACACCAAAACACTAACTTCAAAGAGAAAACCTAAGGGAATATCTGACAATTTGGTTCAGCCATGGTCACATCTTACAGCCTCATGACCCATTGTGCCTGAACCGGAGTAGTTGATACCCTCAAATGATAGGCATGGGTTGAATAGGAGAGCTGCTATCTGCATGTGTCTTGTGTTCTGGTGACAAGTCGACACCCCCACAGCAAATTTAGTTTTGCAAGATAATTAAAACTCTCTCTATAGAGAAAGCTCTTTCCAAGCATCAGATCTAATTACTAGGTCATGGGTGATCCACTCCCCAGTGGTTACCAATGGTTACCCAATGTTAGTGTACTTAGTACACTGCCCCAATGGATTTTCCAAACATTGCCTCAGTGGGTTACCATTGTTTCATGTACAAGCGTAGGAAATTTTTAGGTTTTATATTCCAATTTGGGTCTCTTTGGTGACTACTAAATATTTTGAAACCTGTCTCAGAATTTTTCAGCATCAAACCAATGCCAGTAATG